TCTCCAGTGGCCTGCTAATGCCACCCTCCATCTTATATGGGGAGACTGCTCTTACCCCTCTGGGTCCCGGCCTCTGCTAATCCCTTGGCCTGGGCTGTCCGGTTTTCCAGCACTTACTACCTGCCAGACCCCTGGACATACTCTGAGGCCCAGCCTGATGCCCCTGCTTCAGGAAACCTTCTAGTCACTGCAGAGTGCTGCTCCCCTGACCCCAAGCCCCACCCTCTGCCCCGGACCCCGATGCCTCGGGGATGTTGGGGTGGGAGGGTTCTTTTTAAAGCACTCAGTGGTTACCTAAGAGACCGGCAGATGTGCTGCAGGACCACAAGGTGGCCGCCGGCTTCTGTGAAGATGCACAGCTTTGGACATCCGTGGGCCAGGTCCACTCTGTCCTCTAGCTTACGATGAGCCCGAGTCAACTTGAGGCTGGTGGGCTGGGTTTGGGGCCCTCTCTGCGTGCCATCGTGTCCCCACCCCTTGGTACCTGGCCTGGCGGTGCTTGAGGCCAAGGGAATGGAGGAGCAGGGGTCCTAGTACCTGACCACCAGCTCCTCCCCCATCCCCGCCCCCAGGTGGCCCCTCAGCCCCTCTGGTTCTCAGACTCGGTGGCAAACCTGCGGAAGCTGAAGGAACTGCCCTTCCATCTGCTCCACGCCGGCCGCGTCGAGGAGCTGAAGCAGGACGTGCTGGGTGAGGCGCCCTTTTGTCCCCAGGGGACCCTGGTGATCTCTGGGGACATTTGGGGCCATCACCAGAGGAAGAGGGGGCTGCAGGCATAGACTAGGTGGAGACGAGGTCCTGCTCAACATCCCACAATGCAAAGGGTGGCCCCTACCTCAGAGAATGTTCCAGAACCAAATAGTGGTAGTGCTGCCTGAAGCAGAGACACTCGATCAATCATCTATTTGACTGTCTATCATCTACCAATCACTTATCACCCATCCATCAACCATCTACCTAGCTATGCTTATCTATCACCTATCAATCCATATATCTTCTATCTACCTACTCAACTGCATTGTCAACAGTTTCCAACCTGGGGTAAATTTGTCTGAGGAAACACGTGTTGATGTCTAGAGGCATTGTGGGTTGTCGCCACTGAGGGTGGGGAGTAGCACTGACGTGGATCGGGTCAAGACTAGAGATGCTGCCAATACCCTACAGTGTAGAGGATGGTCCCACCCTAGGGAATGACCGGAGCCCCAAATGTCCCCAGTGCCCAGGCGGAGAGCCCCCTGAGTCAGCTGGAGGTGACCCCAGGTCCTCAGATGGCAGGGAAGGTAAGCCCAGGGTCGCCAGAACGGCACCGCATCCAGTCCCTCTTCCTCCTCCCCCGACAGGCAGTATGAGCTGGATCTCCTGCCGGGCCGTGTCCGGGGGTCTTGAGGCCCTCCTGGATGACTTTGACCTGTGCGCCCCCCATGTGGACTCGCCGGAGGTTGGCCTGGTCCGGGAGGCCCTGCAGCTTGCCTGCCCCGCTGTGGAGCTCCGGGGCCTGGGTGAGTGGGGCCCCGACACCAGGAGGGTGGTCTGAGAAGCTGCTGAGCACACCTGGTTTCCACTCCCCAACACCCTCTCCTGTCCAAAGCTGTAGGTTTGCTCGGGGCCGTGGACCAAGGAAACCCCAGAGCGGTGCCTGGTCCCCGCCCTGGGCTCAGCCTCCTTTCCCTGGAGGCCCAATAAGCCAGGAATAAGTTGTAGTGTTGACTCACAGCAACCCTGTGCATCCCAGGGTGAACCCCCACCCTGTCCTGTGTGGTCCCCACAGTGTTCTCATGTTTGAGCTCATTGCCGTTGTCCAGCCGCCACACGCACAGGTACCCGTGTGACAGCGGGGGCCCTGGTGCCGTAGGAAGTGGCTCAGCCACTCTCAGCCGTGAACCAGAAGGTCCATGGTTTGAACCCACCAGCCACTCCAGGGGAGAGGGCATGGCAGTGGGCTTCCGCAACGTTTACTGCCTTGAAAACTCAGGAGGCAGTTCTGGTCTGCGCATCAGGGATGCTACGAGTCCGAATCGCCTGGATAGAGATGAATTTAAGTGCTCCGCGGCTAACCATGGGTCCATGGTTGGAGCTCCCTCGCTGCTCTGCAGGGGAGATAGGGCCGTCTGCTCCAGTTAACGTCATGGCCCCAAAACGCCCACAGGGCTGTGCTGGGGGGTCTCTGTGAGCAGGAATGGGGGAGAAGGCAGTGCGTCGAGTTGGTGTATAGAACTGTGAGGTCCCCGGGCGCCCTCAGCTGCTCACGGACTGACATGCTGGAGGCTGGGGTCTTCCAGGGCAGCTCTGGAAGAAAGGTCTAGAGAGCGCCGCTGCCGCCCCTGCATGTCCTCCCAGTTCTGCTCGGCCGCGCAGGGTGGCCGGGACTCAGGGTCAGCTCCTGGCTCATTACTTTTTAGTCATAGGTACATCACATGACATCATCGGAAGAGGCCAGTCCCTGGAGGGGGACACGGTGCTCGGTGAAGTAGAGGGGCAGCGAAAGAGGAAGGCCGTCGATGGCATGATTGTCACCGTGGCTGCGACCGTGGGCTCAAGCCTCACGATGGCGAGGAGGTCGCGGGACCGGGTGGGGTTTCGATGGCACCTAGCAGCCACACAATGACAACATGTGTATTTGAATGGACAAAGCTCGAGCTATAGTTTAAAAAATGTCCCTGAGGACAAGACAGAGGTGCTGCTGCGACTGAACAGAAGGGGTGGGGACCGCGGAGCCTTCGTGGTAGCCTTCCCTCCAACCCTGAGGGCAGCCCAGGTTCCGTGCCGGCCGGTGCGCCTCACGCTCAGTCTGCTGCAGCCGCTGACCGTCCGTCTGTCAGCGGACGCACCGGTGTGGCGCCCACTCAGCGGGTGTCAGAGGAAATTCCTGACTGAGACAGACTAGGAGGAAAGCCCTGATTTTGCCACCGAAAATCAGCCAGTAAAACCCCGTGAATCCCAGAGATCTGATCTGCCGCTGACCCAGGACCAGGAGACATCCCATTCTGCTGTGAGCTGGGGCCAGCCCGATGGCAGCGGGCAACAACACCGCTATTGACCAAGTACAACACGAATCATTGATAAGATACAGCCACACGGAGAACCTAGATCCCAACTAAAAACCACCCTCCCTGCCACCGAGTTGGCACCGACGCAGAGGGACCCTGTAGGACAGAACTGGCCCCGTGAATTTCCGTGACTCATTACGGGGTAGAAAGCCGCGTCTTTCTCCCGTGGAGCGGCTGGTGGTTTCAAACTGCTGACCTTGCCCTTAGTGGGACAGTGCACAACCACCGTGCCGCCAAGGCTCCTTACACCATAGATCATTATTAAGGACAGAACTATAATCTTTCTAACAAGTGTACGGGAATTCATTTTTCTTTTTCGAGGTTTCTGTCCTCTATTCGGTTGCCAACATTCATCGGTAAGGTCCATGACACGTCTCCGGCGGAGGCATGGGCTGGATGTGGGCAGTCGCAAGAGTTTTTCTGACTCTCCAGGCGATGCTCTGCCCAGGGCCTTTTGAAGCACACAGTCCCCTGGGCTGGAGGTTTCTGGTGGAAACGCCGTCTGCTTCTTAGTGCGGTTGTAACAGATGCGCCATAGGAGGGCAACGTAACACAGAGAATGTATCATCTTGGAGTTTCAGAGACTGGAAGTCAGGGAGCTGGCTTCCGGAGAAGGCTCACCCTCTGTCCACTCTGGGGGGAATCCTTGACTCAGCATCTCTCGATTCTCCCTGATGTCCCACGTTCCTTGGCTCCCTGCACACAGCATCTGCCTTCCTCTCCGTGGGTGCTAGCTCTGCTCTTGTTTAGCCTGCTCTC